CCGAAATCAAAGAGGGGGTGATCGCCGTCCTCCGGAAGTTCAAGATCTTATTTGCAGTGGGTCGGAGAACATGCCAGGCATTGACCCAAACATCATATGCCACAGGCTAGCCGTATGGCCGGATGCCAAGCCCATCCAATAGAAGAAGCGGTACATGGCAGCCGACTAGCGAGACTTCATCAAAACTGAGACAGCGACGCTCCTCAGCATTAGACACATCCGGCCGGTCATCCACGTGGAGTGGTTTTAGCTTCCAAGGGAACCTCTCCATGCTGCGAGCATCAGACGAGGCTATCTGCCGGCTCTTCTTCAGCACTTTGAGGGGCCTAGCACAGGAATGGTTCGGGCAGCTGAGGCCCGAATCCATCAACAACTATGAGCAGCTGTCCAAGCAGTTCATGGCCCAATTCGCCGCCAGCACAACCCCCAAGAAGAGCTTCACGTCCCTCGCTAACGTGAAGCAAGGGAAGGACGTGCTGAGCCTCTGGCCAAATTTCTGGTCAGATGGAGAGATGAAGTCCTACAGGTGGATGACCTTGACGAGCGGCTGGGGGTGAACATGTTCACCAGCGCATTGGCCACAGGAGATCTATACTGGGACCTCTGGAGGAACCCTAGTATCAGCTACACCAAGGTCCTGGCTCGCGCTCAGAAGTATGCCTCCATCGAGGAGGAGATTAGAATGAGGGATGCTGCATCAGCCGCCCCATCCTGGAAATTGGCGGATAGGCTCGGTCCCGGGGGCTGACCATCTCCCCCGAACAAGACGAAGAAGACAGACGGAGCCATGACCCCGTGGAGACCCCGACCGGAGACTGGCCACATTCGTCCTGAGGATTACTATGTCCCCTTGGCTTACCCTATTAGCCAGATCTTCGAGGTAATCTAGGACAAGGGCCTCTTAGACGCTCCCCGGGACTCGGAGACGCTCATGGGCAGAGATGAGACCGCTTTCTGCAAATACAATCAGAGGGTTGGTCACCTGACAGACAATTGCAAACATCTAAAATTGGCTATAGACGAGCTGATTCGTCAGGGATATCTTGGCGAATTCACCCAGATCCTTACGAAGAACAGCCAGAAGCGGCCATACCAAAAGCATAAGACTTGGTGCCGTGATGACCGGCCCGAGGCCGAACCCAAGGACGACGATTATCGCAGAACTGATAAGCGTCCGGAGGGGTCCCTCGGGCCGAACGGCGGGAAGAAGAAGTTGGAGATCAAAGTAATCTTCGGGGGTGTTGAGACTGGGGACACCCCCGCAGCTCGGAAAAAATTTGAGAGGTCCCTCTATATGGGCTCCATATCGGCTCCCCCCACCAAGAAGAACAAGGTAGAGGCCATCACCTTCGGACCAGCAGACCTGCCGAAATCGCCGGCTCCACACAGGGACGAGCTGGTAATCAGCATGAACGTCAACGATGCCCTCATCCGCCGCGTCCTCGTCGATACCGGCAGTAGCGTGAACGTCCTCTATTAGGATGTATTTGAGAAAATACACCAAAGGAAGGAACAGCTGACCCCTCTGCGCACCCCGTTAGCTGGATTCACTGGGGACTGCATTGACGTAGAAGGCACCATCACTCTCCCCGTGGAAGTCGGGGATGGGCCGCATGTCGCCAGAATGGAAATGACGTTCGTCGTGGTCCGCCTAAAATGTGCCCACAACGCCATTTTAGGCCGACCCGGCCTAGAAGACCTAGAGGCCATGTGCTCCGTGCGACACTCATGCATCAAATTCCCCACTGAGACTGCGGTTGGGGTGGCCCGCACGGATCCATACATGGCAAGAGCTTGTTACATGAAGGCCATGGAGAGACTGGACGAGCGGGAGGCTCGGGTCAACAGCATTTCGGAATCAGCCAAACGTGTCGAATTCGACGCTCGTCCAGAGCTAGCCACACTGCTCGAAAAAATGGAGCTCGATGACCCATCGGACATGAAGGTGTCCATCGGGGCTGACCTCGAGCGTGAAATCAAAGAGGGGGTGATCGCCGTCCTCCGTAAGTTCAAGATTGTAACACCGTCCCCAAATATATTTACTTTTATGTAAATAATGTATTGAACCTTATTAAAGGATTAATGAATTTACGAAGTTGTAAATTTTTATTATTTCTTTCGCGTGAATAGTAAATTGCACGTGGGACCCACACCGGGAGCGGAGGCCGCCCGGCATTCCCGAGACCACATATTTTATTCATCTTGGTCTAGATAATAAATATATAGTGGTGGATATTTCATTTGGGCCATGGAAAGGCCCAGAGTTGACCGATCGATCAATAGAAGCCCAAATTACCGGTACTGGTAAATTAACGAATAACGGCCCGAACTGAATTTCGGAGACTTATAAATTAAAGTTGGGGAATGTATATTCATTATACATGTCATAATGAGTAAGAGCACATAATATATTTTATTTGACCCGATAAAATAAAATATATTTAAAACAGTCCGAAAAATACAACTTTCGGGACCGATTGTACACACCGGGACACAAAGGGATGACCTCCCACATGAGTGGGGGCCACCCCACGTTTTTTTTGTGGGCTGTGAGAGGAGGGGAGGCTGGCTGATTGGAGAGGAGGGGTGTGGGAGTGGTTGACTTGAGGGGATTGGCATCAAAAGGACACATGGGGGGTCCTTGCCATGTTATCATGGTGGAATAAGCCAAAAGTTGGCATTTCCTCTCACCCCCACCCTCATTTTCGGCCAAGGCTCATCAAGAGGAGAGGAAACCCCCTGCAAAATACATCCTCCATATCCAAGAACAAAGCCCAAGCAATAGGAGTCCAAGGAGGAAGATTATAGAAGAAAAAAAGCTAGGAAAAGGTGTGAAAACTAAGGTAAGAACCTTATCATAACTTTTTCTTTATTTTTCTCCTACCATATGAGATACATATCATGTGAAGGATCCTCAAGAGGGTTCTACATGTTATAAGTATGGATTAATGGGTTGGAAAGTGATTCTATGTCCAAGAACGGACTTAGAAGCCAAAACGACCGGTTCACCGGAAAATAACCTTTTTGAGGTTATTTGTATTAACATGGGTTTTATGATTATAAAACCTTGTTAGGAACTTGTGAAAGGTATTTCAAGTGATTTCACAAAGTTGGAAAAGTCGCCGGAGTTGTCGCCGGAGTTGACCAAAAGTCACCGGAGTTTCACCGGAGTTCAACCAAGAAGGGTAGAACTTCATACGCTAGTTCAAGGTGAGTGGACGGCTTAATATCTTATAACTTTTGGGTTAATTATGAGATTACCTAAATAAATGTTATATGTTTTCATAATGATGTTTAAAAGATATTTAAACATGTGATTAGCCAACATTATCAAGTTGTATGAAAAGAATTAATTGATTATGCATGAAATATGATATGAGAGATTATATAAAATGCACATTAGCTTGAAGTGTAAAAGAAGCTCAAATGAGTATTATTGACTTAATTATATGATGATTAAGTTGATATGAATAAGGCTTGAATTGGCGGTCAACGACAACGTTGACCGATGGATGATGGATTAACTAATATCGGTTGATGTTAGTTAATTATACATTTATTTAAATGCATGGCTTTGCATGGATTGTGATACATAAGAATTATGTATTGGATTAGTTATGAGTAACTAAGGATGATATAGACTCTATCTAGGTTGATAGGAGGTTGATCATAGGAAAACTTGGTGGAGGACCCTAGTACTTAAAAAGTACTTAACACTCAAACTTGGTGGAGGACCCTAGTACTTAAAAAGTACTTAACACTCAAACTTGGTGGAGGACCCTAGTACTTAAAAAGTACTTAACACTCAAACTTGGTGGAGGACCCTAGGACTTAAAGTCCTTAACACTCAAACTTGGTGGAGGACCCTAGTACTTAAAAGTACTTAACACTCAAAACTTGGTGGAGGACCCTAGGACTTAAAAGTCCTTAACACTCAAACTTGGTGGAGGACCCTAGTACTTAAAAGTACTTAACACTCAAACTTGGTGGAGGACCCTAGGACTTATGAGTCCTTAACACTCACAAACCGGTGGAGTATCCAAGGATTATGATCCTAAAACTCATAGATTGTGATATACAAGTAGGGACAAGGAGGAGTCCTATACACTCATAGGTATATGGGTGGGTTGGGGTTTTTAGTCAAGAATATTGACTATTACTATTTTCCCGAATAAAATGGTGATCTACGGATCGGATATTTTCCAAGTATATATATACTAATAAGTATTTCATAACTTGGGGGAAAGATTATTTATTTAAGTATCACCCTATGTTTGGGTCTTATACTTGAAACGCTAGTTATTCTATATTTAGCCTGCTACTCGCTCGGTACTTGTACTGACCCCTTCGGGGGGCCCCACCATTTTCAGGTTGAAGCTAGGGCTTGCTACTTGCACCTTCTCACGGGTGATATCAAATCAGGAAGACGTGGTTCGTGCTTCCTTATTTTCTTTCAAACTACCGAACACTTGCTCATGGATATTTGTTTTACTATAAACACTTTTTGGGCTTGCATGCCCATGTTGTTGGCCGGTTGTGGCTCATGACTTACCGTTGAATATTTCCGCTATTCATTGGTTTAAAATGTGATGTTGTTATGTATGTTTACTACTGAGTATGGATGAATTGTTTTCTCGAACGCCTTGTGTAATTAAGTGGGGTTGACTCGTGGGTGACGTCACTTAGTTATACGGCGGTTGTACACGCGCTTGGATTGCGGTCTGGGGCGTGACAATTAAGTGGTATCAGAGCCATCTCAGTTCTAAACATTATAATCAACCTCTCACAAAAGATTTTACAAAAGAGTTTTTACCGAAAACCATGAGCATTGTATTTTGACGTTTATAGGACTATTGGTGCTTGAGTTGCAAGGCCTCTAATTGTTAAGACGGTACCCTTAACAATTGGTATGGTAGTGACTTGGGCCAATATGTGTCTGTAACGTTCTTCCGTCAGTTGACATTTATAGGAGTCTAATGACTCATCCATATTTCTTTCAGAAATGGAGGGCAGGCGAATGAGGACCAGGAACAATCCGAGGGGGCAGGCGCCGGTAGCATCCCAAAGGGGAAGCCGGGCTGCATCTCGGGGTTCGAGAGGAGGCCGTGGAGGCCGTGGAAGCCGTGGAGGCCATCAAGCTCAAACTATGAGTGATGGCCATGTGAGCTCGGTGTATGAGACCAACACCGAAGACTATGACTCAACCTACGTGCCAGAGACGGAGCATGAAGAGACCCCGTATGATGGGGGTGACACGTACACCGATGATGATAATGAAGAGAGTGATGCCAAGTTCGCCCAAATGGGCGAATTGCTTGAATGGTATCAAAAAGAAAAATTGAGGAGGGACCTTAGGCGCCAAGCGAGGCGTGGCTCTCGCGGTGGTTCGGGTCAAGGAAGCCGGGGAGCTTCCGTGGCCACCCCAGCGGCGTCACAAGGTGGGCGTGAAGGAGGTTTTGTCGTGAGAATCTCCAAGTACCTCAAGGAGGCTAGGGCCTTGGGGTGTAGGTCCTTTGACGGCACCGGTGACATTACCGTTGCCGCGGATTGGATTAAGAAGGTGAAGGATGCATCAAGAGACATGCAAATCACACCGGACGTGAAGTTGACTGTCGCTTCGCGGTTACTTGAAGGTATAGCCTCTACGTGGTGGGAGAGCGTGGAGGGGAAGTACCATGGGGAAATAACATGGGCGGACTTTGAGCTAGAGTTCTATGCTCAATACTACTCCGAGTACGAGGTGAATGTGAAACGGAGAGAGTACACTAACCTCAAACAGAAAGATGGCGGCACAGTTAAACAACTGGAACAAGAGTTTAGAACCTTGGCTAGGTTCTTGCCGGAGTACGCGGTTGATGAGAACCGCATGACGGAGCACTTTTGGGATGCCCTACTCTTGGACATTCGTGACCGAGCTACGTACTCGCGCCACATGACCTTCAGCGAGGTGGTGGAACAGGGCCTTCTCGGGGAGGCCCAATGGAATGAGAGGAAAGAGAGAGACGCCGAAGAGGCGAAAAAGAGAAAATGGCAAAGCTCGGGGCCGCCCGAGCAAGCACGGAGGGATAAACACGGCGGAGGTGGGGGTTCGTTCAAAACACCGGCACCACCGACAAAGAAGAACAAGGATGCTCGGTGGCATGCATCCTCCTCCCAAAAGACGGGACCCCCTAGGTGTGCTAATTGTTCGAAAAATCACTTTGGGAAATGCAATGCACCCCCAAGGTGTTATCAATGTGGGAACACGGGTCACATGAAGGCCAATTGCCCACAACTAGGGGGAGGAGGAGCTCCGGGATCCGGAGGAGGAACCATGACGGGAAGAAACCGTGCGGGACCGTCAAACGGCGGTACGGGAAGAGGCAACGCATCCACAAGTCATGCCGCGTCCGTAAATCAAGGCGGGACCCAAGCACGAGTGTACGCAATGACCGAGGCGGATGCACGAGCAAACCCGGACTCCGTTGCAGGTAATACACTTATTTTCCTGTATTTCTAGACTTATTTGGGTCATATAAGTCATTGGGTTTGGGTGCGGGCCACCCCGGGGTCAAACCCCGCGAATTCGGGGCGAAACGGGCTAAAAACAACTACGCGCGATCGCGCGTACCCACAGACGCACGACCGTGCGTGCGAGGCAGTAGCCCCTGGCCTTATTCCGCACAGACGCACGCCGTGCGTGCAGGTCAGGCACGCCGTGCCTGGGACGCACGATCGTGCGTGACCAGCTACGCACGATCGTGCGTAGCCGGCAGTGGCGGATCTCTGATTTTCAAGCACGCACGACCGTGCGTGCCACCCAGGCACGCCGTGCGTGGACCCCCCAACACCCGAAAATTGATTTTTTCGCCCCGTTCTTCTACGTTTGGACCCCCGTTTGATTCCAAACATTAGTATGAACCTAATAACATCCTAATGATGTGTAAAAACCTTAGAAAATGTATCTTACATGGTGTATAAATGTAGGAACATTAAAGATCAATGGTAGGTGTGCGAGGATCCTCATCGATACCGGGGCACAACGCTCATTTGTGAGTGAGGCGTTCGCCGAGGGCCTTGACGTGCCATTGACACCTATGACGCAAACATTGCTAGTCTCCACACCGTTAGGAGACGACGTGGAGAGAAATCATTATTATCCGTCGTGCGAGGTAGAAGTGACGGGTCAACCTTTGACTTGTGATTTCGTACCTCTAAGCATGTTGGAGTTCGATGCAATCCTAGGAATGGATTGGCTCGAGAAACACCATGCTCGAGTAGATTGCTACACCAAGGTGTTAGAGCTCGAGGATGATCAAGGAAACACACTATGTTTCGAGGGAGATCGGGGGAAATCTAATGCTTGTATAATATCCGTGATGAGAGCACGGAAGATGATGAGGAAGGGATGCCACGCATACCTTGCCTACGTGGTGGACGATACCAAGAAGGAAGTCGACATCAAGGATGTACGGGTCGTGTGCAAATACCCGGATGTCTTTCCCAAAGACCTACCGGGGCTTCCACCCGATAGAGAGATAGAGTTTGTAATTGAAGTGGAGCCGGGAACCAAACCCATTTCGATTCCTCCTTATCGAATGGCACCGGCCGAACTCCAAGAGTTGAAGGTCCAACTACAAGAATTACTGGACAACGGGTTCATCAGACCCAGTCATTCACCGTGGGGAGCACCCGTACTCTTCGTAAAAAAGAAAGATGGTACACTAAGAATGTGTATTGACTACCGACAGTTGAACAAGGTCACAATCAAAAACAGATATCCCTTACCGAGGATTGATGACTTGTTTGATCAACTTCGGGGGGCAATAGTGTTCTCGAAGATTGATTTGAGGTCGGGGTATCATCAGTTGAAGATCAAGGAAAGCGACATACCTAAAAGTGCATTCCGTACTAGGTATGGTCATTACGAGTTCCTTGTGATGTCATTTGGTTTAACCAACGCACCGGCGGCATTCATGGACTTGATGAACCGGGTGTTTAGTGAATACTTAGATCAATTTGTAATAGTATTCATTGATGATATCTTGATATACTCCAAGAGCGAGGAGGAGCACGAACATCATTTGGGGCTTATACTTGATCGGCTAAGGGAAAAGCAACTCTTTGCCAAGTTCTCTAAATGCGAATTTTGGCTCAAGGAGATTGGTTTTCTTGGTCACGTCATATCCGGTTCGGGCGTAGCTGTGGATAACGCCAAGATAAAGGCTATCATGGATTGGGAGAGACCCAAGAATGTGAAAGAAATACGTAGTTTCCTTGGCCTAGCGGGGTACTATCGTAAATTCGTTGAGAAGTTCTCCGTATTGGCGTCCCCATTAACGAAGCTCACAAAGAAAGGGGCCAAGTTTGTATGGGACGACAAGTGTGAGAAAGGGTTCCTTGAACTGAAGAAACGACTTACCGAAGCACCAGTCCTAGCCCTACCCATACAGGGGATAGGGTATGATATCTACAGTGATGCTAGCATCCAAGGACTTGGATGTGTACTGATGCAAAACGGTAAAGTGATTGCCTATGCTTCAAGGCAATTGAGAAAGCACGAGGTGAACTACCCTACCCATGATCTAGAATTAGGGGCGGTAGTGTTTGCATTGAAGATTTGGAGGCATTATCTCTACGGGGAGACATGTCACATTTTTACAGACCATAAGAGCTTGAAGTACGTATTCACTCAGAAAGAGTTGAATATGAGGCAAAGGAGATGGATGGAGTTGATCAAGGACTATGACTTGATCATCGACTATCATCCCGGAAAGGCCAATGTCGTGGCCGACGCACTGAGCAGGAAGAATGCGACAGGGACGCTACTCACATGTCTACAGGCATTGAGGGCACGCGTGGAGGTGTCTACGTGTGGGGCTCTCATTGCTCAATTTGAGGTTAGGCCCACCCTATTGGGTGAGATTAGTCGAAGTCAGGCCATTGATGAAGAATGTCAGAAGATCCGTGAAAGAATCCTGGAAGGACCCGTTGAGAATTTTCGGGTACGTGATGACGGTCTTTTATTGTTTAAAGATCGTGTGTGCATACCAAGGAATGAGGAACTCCAGAAATCTATACTTGAGGAGGCTCATTCTTCGGCTTATGCTATGCATCCAGGAGGTACTAAGATGTACCGAGATCTGAAGGAAAGTTACTGGTGGTCAGGTATGAAGAGAGATATCGCAGAGTTTGTGAGTCGATGCCTTACTTGCCAGCAAGTTAAGGCAGAGCATCAGCACCCAGCAGGGCTCTTACAACCGCTCACTATCCCAGAGTGGAAGTGGGAACACGTGACCATGGACTTCGTGGTGGGGCTACCACGAACGGTAAACAACTATGATGCAGTATGGGTAGTGGTTGATAGGCTCACCAAGAGTGCACACTTTCTGCCTATCAACATTACTTATCCTCTTGAAAGATTGGCCAAGCTATATACAGAGGAGATTGTGAGATTACATGGAGTCCCAATATCCATTGTCTCGGATAGGGATCCACGATTCACATCCCGATTTTGGCCAAAGTTTCAGGCATCCTTGGGAACTAAACTGAAGTTTAGCACAGCTTTTCACCCACAGACCGATGGACAGTCCGAGCGGGTGATACAGATTTTGGAAGACATGCTTAGGGCATGTGCGTTGGAGTTCCAAGGAAGTTGGGACAAGCATTTGGCCCTAGTGGAGTTTGCCTATAATAACAGTTATCAGGCAAGTATCGGCATGCCCCCATATGAGGCATTGTATGGGAGGAAGTGCAGAACACCGTTGTGTTGGGACGAGGTGGGCGAGGCCAAACTCGAAGGAATAGAGCTGGTTGAGATCACCAAGGCCAAGATAAGGATCATTCGGGATAGATTGAAGGCTGCTCAGGACCGACAGAAGAGTTATGCTGATAAACGGCGGAGACCGTTGGAGTTCGAAGTCGGTGATGAGGTCTTCCTAAGGATTTCTCCTTGGAAGGGCATCATCCGATTTGTATCGAGGGGGAAGCTTAACCCCCGATACATAGGTCCGTTTGAGATCCTTGAAAGGATCGGGGCCGTGGCTTACCGACTCAAGTTGACGCCTGAACTTGAGAAGATACATGACGTGTTTCATGTATCAATGCTCAAGAAGTACATACGAGACCCATCTCATATTCTTGAGAAACCACCGGTAGAGATCCGTGAGGACTTGCAATATGCGGTGGAACCAGTGAAGATTGTGGGTCAACAAGTGAAGAAGCTTAGGAATAAGGAGATTCCTATGGTAAAGGTCCTTTGGAGGAGTGATCGAGTCGAAGAAGAAACTTGGGAGACCGAGGTCTCAATGAGGGAGCAATACCCATTTCTTTTCGATTAGATACTTGGATTTCGGGGACGAAATCCCAAATAAGGGGGGGTGAACTTGTAACACCGTCCCCAAATATATTTACTTTTATGTAAGTAATGTATTGAACCTTATTAAAGGATTAATGAATTTACGAAGTTGTAAATTTTTATTATTTCTTTCGCGTGAATAGTAAATTGCACGTGGGACCCACACCGGGAGCGGAGGCCGCCCGACATTCCCGAGACCACATATTTTATTCATCTTGGTCTAGATAATAAATATATAGTGGTGGATATTTCATTTGGGCCATGGAAAGGCCCAGAGTTGACCGATCGATCAATAGAAGCCCAAATTACCGGTACTGGTAAATTAACGAATAACGGCCCGAACTGAATTTCGGAGACTTATAAATTAAAGTTGGGGAATGTATATTCATTATACATGTCATAATGAGTAAGAGCACATAATATATTTTATTTGACCCGATAAAATAAAATATATTTAAAACAGTCCGAAAAATACAACTTTCGGGACCGATTGTACACACCGGGACACAAAGGGATGACCTCCCACATGAGTGGGGGCCACCCCACGTTTTTTTTGTGGGCTGTGAGAGGAGGGGAGGCTGGCTGATTGGAGAGGAGGGGTGTGGGAGTGGTTGACTTGAGGGGATTGGCATCAAAAGGACACATGGGGGGTCCTTGCCATGTTATCATGGTGGAATAAGCCAAAAGTTGGCATTTCCTCTCACCCCCACCCTCATTTTCGGCCAAGGCTCATCAAGAGGAGAGGAAACCCCCTGCAAAATACATCCTCCATATCCAAGAACAAAGCCCAAGCAATAGGAGTCCAAGGAGGAAGATTATAGAAGAAAAAAAGCTAGGAAAAGGTGTGAAAACTAAGGTAAGAACCTTATCATAACTTTTTCTTTATTTTTCTCCTACCATATGAGATACATATCATGTGAAGGATCCTCAAGAGGGTTCTACATGTTATAAGTATGGATTAATGGGTTGGAAAGTGATTCTATGTCCAAGAACGGACTTAGAAGCCAAAACGACCGGTTCACCGGAAAATAACCTTTTTGAGGTTATTTGTATTAACATGGGTTTTATGATTATAAAACCTTGTTAGGAACTTGTGAAAGGTATTTCAAGTGATTTCACAAAGTTGGAAAAGTCGCCGGAGTTGTCGCCGGAGTTGACCAAAAGTCACCGGAGTTTCACCGGAGTTCAACCAAGAAGGGTAGAACTTCATACGCTAGTTCAAGGTGAGTGGACGGCTTAATATCTTATAACTTTTGGGTTAATTATGAGATTACCTAAATAAATGTTATATGTTTTCATAATGATGTTTAAAAGATATTTAAACATGTGATTAGCCAACATTATCAAGTTGTATGAAAAGAATTAATTGATTATGCATGAAATATGATATGAGAGATTATATAAAATGCACATTAGCTTGAAGTGTAAAAGAAGCTCAAATGAGTATTATTGACTTAATTATATGATGATTAAGTTGATATGAATAAGGCTTGAATTGGCGGTCAACGACAACGTTGACCGATGGATGATGGATTAACTAATATCGGTTGATGTTAGTTAATTATACATTTATTTAAATGCATGGCTTTGCATGGATTGTGATACATAAGAATTATGTATTGGATTAGTTATGAGTAACTAAGGATGATATAGACTCTATCTAGGTTGATAGGAGGTTGATCATAGGAAAACTTGGTGGAGGACCCTAGTACTTAAAAAGTACTTAACACTCAAACTTGGTGGAGGACCCTAGTACTTAAAAAGTACTTAACACTCAAACTTGGTGGAGGACCCTAGTACTTAAAAAGTACTTAACACTCAAACTTGGTGGAGGACCCTAGGACTTAAAGTCCTTAACACTCAAACTTGGTGGAGGACCCTAGTACTTAAAAGTACTTAACACTCAAAACTTGGTGGAGGACCCTAGGACTTAAAAGTCCTTAACACTCAAACTTGGTGGAGGACCCTAGTACTTAAAAGTACTTAACACTCAAACTTGGTGGAGGACCCTAGGACTTATGAGTCCTTAACACTCACAAACCGGTGGAGTATCCAAGGATTATGATCCTAAAACTCATAGATTGTGATATACAAGTAGGGACAAGGAGGAGTCCTATACACTCATAGGTATATGGGTGGGTTGGGGTTTTTAGTCAAGAATATTGACTATTACTATTTTCCCGAATAAAATGGTGATCTACGGATCGGATATTTTCCAAGTATATATATACTAATAAGTATTTCATAACTTGGGGGAAAGATTATTTATTTAAGTATCACCCTATGTTTGGGTCTTATACTTGAAACGCTAGTTATTCTATATTTAGCCTGCTACTCGCTCGGTACTTGTACTGACCCCTTCGGGGGGCCCCACCATTTTCAGGTTGAAGCTAGGGCTTGCTACTTGCACCTTCTCACGGGTGATATCAAATCAGGAAGACGTGGTTCGTGCTTCCTTATTTTCTTTCAAACTACCGAACACTTGCTCATGGATATTTGTTTTACTATAAACACTTTTTGGGCTTGCATGCCCATGTTGTTGGCCGGTTGTGGCTCATGACTTACCGTTGAATATTTCCGCTATTCATTGGTTTAAAATGTGATGTTGTTATGTATGTTTACTACTGAGTATGGATGAATTGTTTTCTCGAACGCCTTGTGTAATTAAGTGGGGTTGACTCGTGGGTGACGTCACTTAGTTATACGGCGGTTGTACACGCGCTTGGATTGCGGTCTGGGGCGTGACAAAGATCTTATTTGCCAGAGGGCCGGAGGACATGTCAGGCATCGACCCAAACATCATATGCCACAGGCTAGCCGTACGGTCGAATGCCAATCCCATCCAACAAAAGAAGCGGTACATGGCAGTCGACCAGCGAGGCTTCATCAAAACTGAGACAGCGACGCTCCTCAGCATCAGACACATCCGAGCGGTCATCCACGTGGAGTGGTTTTTGTCACGCCCCAGACCGCAATCCAAGCGCGTGTACAACCGCCGTATAATCAAGTGAAGTCACCCGCGAGTCAACCTCACTTAATTACACAAGGCGTTCGAGAATATAATCCATCCATACTCAGTAGTAAACATACATAACAACATCACATTTAAACCAATGAATAGCGGAAATATTCAACGGTAAGTCATAAGCCACAACCGGCCAACAACATGGGCATGCAAGCCCCAAAAATAGTTTATAGTAGAACAAATATCCATGAGCAAGTGTTCGGTAGTTTGAAAGAAAATAAGGAAGCACGAACCACGTCTTCCTGAGTCGATATCACCCGTAAGAAAGGTGCAAGTAGCAAGCCCTAGCTTCTACCTGAAAATGGTGCCCCCCCCCCCCCCCCCCCCGAAGGGGTCAGTACAAGTACCGAGCGAGTAGCAGGCTAAATATAGAATAACTAGTGTTTCAAGTATAAGACCCAAACATAGGGTGATACTTATATAAATAGTCCTTTCCCCCAAGTTATGAAATACTCATTAGTATATATATACTTGGAAAATACCCGATCCGCAGATCACCGTTTTATTTGGGAAAATAGTAATAGTCAATATCCTTGACTAAAAACCCCAACCCACCCATATACCTATGAGTGTATAGGACTCCTCCTTGTCCCTATTTCGATATCATAATCTATGAGTTTTAGGATCATAATCCTTGGGTACTCCACCGGTTTGTGAGTGTTAAGGACTCATAAGTCCTAGGGTCCTCCACCAAGTTTTGAGTGTTAAGTACTTTTAAGTACTAGGGTCCTCCACCAAGTTTTGAGTGTTAAGTACTTTTAAGTACTAGGGTCCTCCACCAAGTTTTCCTATGATCAACCTCCTATCAACCTAGATAGAGTCTATATCATACTTAGTCATTCAATAACTAGTTCAATACATAAAACTTATGTATCACAATTCATGCAAAGCCATGCAGTTATATAAATGTACAATTAACTAATATCAACTGATATTAGTTAATCCATTATCCATCGGTCAACGTTGTTGTTGACCGCCATTCGAGCCTTGTACATATCAACTTAATCATCATATAATTAAGTTAATAATAACTATTTGTGCTTCTTTCACATTCCCAACAATTATGCATTTCATATTATTTCTCATATCATATTTCATGTATAAACAATTAGTTCCTTTCATACAAACTTAACCCTATTGGCTAATCACATGTTTAAATATCTTTTAAACATCATTATGAACTCATATAACATTTATTTAGGTAATCTTATAATTAACCCAAAAGTTATAAGATATTAAGCCGTCCACTCACCTTGAACTAGCGTTATGAAGTTCTACCCTTCTTGGTTGAACTCCGGTGAAACTCCGGCGACTTTTGGTCAACTCCGGCGACAACTCCGGCGACTTTTCCAACTTTGTGAAATCACTTGAAATACCTTTCACAAGTTCCTAACAAGGTCTTATAATCATAAAACCCATATTAATACAAATAACCTCAAAACGGTTATTTTCCGGTGAACCGGTCGTTTTGGCTTCTAAGTCCGTTCTTGGACATAGAATCACTTTCCAACCCATTAATCCATACTTATAACACGTAGAACCCTCTTAAGGATTCTTCCCATGATATGTATCTCATATGGTAGAAGAAAAATAAAGAAGAAGTTATAATAAGGTCATTACCTTAATTATTTCACACTTTTAGCACTTTAGCTCCTTTTTGGGTGATTCTTCCTTGATGAGCTCTCTTCAACAATGGAGGAAAGAGTCTGGGGAGGTCCTTGTTCTTGCTGGCTATGGGTTGGCCGAAAGTGAGGGAGAAAGGGGGTGAAGATAGTGTTTTTGTCCCTTTGGTTCAATGAGTGTGAATGGGGGTCCACCCCATTTGTTTGATGCCTTTTCCCTCATCTCACACACCTCTCCCATGTTCCCTTATCACACCAACTGGACAAACACTTAATTTAGGTAGCTAAATTCGTGGGTTGGCCCCCACCCATGTGGGAGGTCAACCCTTTTTGTCCAGAAGTGCACAATCGGTCCCGAAAGTTGTATTTTTCGGACAGTTTTAAATATATTTTATTTTATCGGGTCCAATAAAATATATTACGTGTTCCCAATCGTAATGGCCTTTTGAAATAATATATATTCCAAAACATTAATTTAGAAGTCTCCGAAATTCATTTTCGGGCTGTTATCTGTTAAATTGTCGGTACCGGTATTTGGGCTTCTTTTGACCAATCGGTCAACCCCAGACCTTCCCATGGCCCAAATAAGATGTCCACCAAAATATAAATATTATTTCGACCCATAAGAATAATTTATGTGATCTCAGGAATATCGGGCGGCCCCCGCTCCCGGTGTGGGTCCCACGTGCAATTTACTATTCACGCGAAAGAAAAAAATAAAAATTTACAACTTCGTAAATTCATTAATCCTTTAATAACGTTCAATACATTATTTACATAAAAGTAAATATATTTGGGGACGGTGTTACAGTTTTAGCTTCCAAGGGAACCTCTCCATGCTGGTAGCATCAGACGAGGCTATCTGCCGGCTCTTCTTCAGCACTTTGAGGGGCCTAGCACAGGAATGGTTCGGGCAGCTGAGGCCCGGATCCATCGACAACTATGAGGAGCTGTCCCAGCAGTTCATGGCGCAATTCGCCGCCAGAACAACCCCCAAGAAGAGCTTCACGTCCCTCGCTAACGTGAAGCAGGGGAAGGACGAGCTGAGCCTCTGGCCAAATTTCTGGTCAGATGGAGAGATGAAGTCCTACAGGTGGATGACCTGGACGAGCGGCTAAGGGTGAACATGTTCACCACCGCATTGGCCACATGAGATCTATATTGGGACCTCTGGAGGAACCCTAGCTCTAGCTATTATCAAATTTACCATAAATGTTTGTGTAAAACTGTACTTTTATGTTTCCAAAATAGGATTTTTTGTTCCCTAAATAAGTGTAATTAATGTAACGCTTTGACCAGTGGCGGATTTAGTATGGGGGCGGTGGGGGCAGCTGCCCCTCTCAACCTTCACCCAAACCTTATATACTCCCTCCGTCCCCTTTTAAATATCCCGTTTTATCATATTGGGATGTCCCTATTTAATTGTCCCATATCTTATTTGGTAAACTTTGTGTAGCTCAAAATCATTCTTACTTTATTCTTACTTTATCAATTAATATCAACCACACAAACTCACTTTTCTTAAAACTCGTGACACCATCTCCCGTCCTATTTAAAAGGGGACGGAGGGAGTATATAATATAAAATAATATTTATATTTATATGCTAACTATATTATTATATACTTTAATTACGCTGGCTTTAACAAAATGATTGTTGGCCTAGCGGAAGTGCTTCTTCCGTGCGTGTGAAATGTTTCTGTGGTCGGGTGTTCGATTCTCACCACATTCCTTTTACTATTTTTTTTCCTTTTTGTCCTCTTTTTTTCATATTCTCATACTTTTCTTCATTTTTCTTTTATTTGAAACATTAAACTACATGCACTTTTTATTTCTCATACTTCTCCATTCTTTTCTATTTAGATGAATTCACCTTTTCATGTTTGTCGATGTACAAATCAGACCATTAATATCTTGCACTCTTTAGTGGTAAAAAAAATTTAAAAAAATGATAATTTAAAATGAGAGAAATTAATAATAAAATATAGTCATAGTAGAATATGTGAATAAGGCAAAATCACCAACGTTGCAACTAATTAAAAGAGAACGGATGTAGTATAACTTATAAAGTTTTGCAATAACAATTTTGCACTAAATATAAATTGATTTTTAGATATAATTGTGCATTTGCAATTTACATTAATACTAAATATATGCAATATCCGTCCCTTATTCAACTCGTCTGGTTTATTTATGAAATTTGTTAAGTACGTTTTCATGTTTTGTCGAACAAATATTTTATTATTTATAACTAACTTCACAAAAGAAAAAATCTTATTGTATTCAACTGTTTATGACATGATTGAGAGAATATGTTATGTAAATTCGCCCTCGCTCACAACAATTTCTGGATACGCCACTGGCTTTGACAATACAAACTTTAACCATGGGAGCATTTTCTAAACTTAGCAATAAGTACTCTTATTTAGGTAATAAAAATGTGTCCGTCGTATTGTGGAATTCTCAAACGTTTTTACTCTTATTTCGTGAATTTTCCCTTCTTTAATTTAAAAACTCATTTCGAACATTGGATGTTATCATTCCTGACATTGAAAATAATGTACAAAAGCCTCGTTCGTTTGACGCATCAGTTGCTAATCAAAATTAAAGTATTTTTTAATAAGTGGATTTGTTTAAATTTTATTTTTATTATTATTAATGTATTCATGTGAAAATAACACTACCGAATTGGACAACATGAAATGTGGACAGATGCATTTATTTAAGAACAGAGGAAGTATAATTTATGTGCTAACGTGCCCCTCCAAGGTCCCAGAGCTAGTTCGCCACTGATGAAGCAATACCCAATCTAGTGTTTATGTATCTAGTCAATAGTCATATTCCATTGGTATAGCTAGGTGTCAACTTAAGTTCTAGCTTCTTCTTTTTGGATGAAATGTAAGTATATATTCAAATCATCCAAAAGTAACAAATACATGTATAAAAAAGAACTATCTAAGCTAGAAT